AGATCTAGAACAATCAATCATCTTGATGCAAAAGAGGGGAGGACCCAAAGCCCATCTGTAGACAATTGGACATTCCCTCACAGAAGGGTCACAAGGAAGGAATGAGCCACCAGGGTGCAGTATAGCACTGATGAAACATACAACATTCTTCTAGTTCTCTAATGCTTCTTCCCCCCAACTATTATGACCCCAATTCTACCTTACAAATCTGGCTAAACCAGAGCATGTACATGGGTACAGATAAGAGCTCTCAACACAGGGAATCCAGGACAGATAAACCCCTCAGGACCAATAATGAGAGTAGTGATACCACAAGGGTAAAGGGAAGATGGTGGGGAGTGGGGAGGAGATAGAAAGGAAGACCGGATCACAATGATTGATGTATAAGACCCCACCCCAGGGTGTACTGAACAACAGAAAAGTGGGTGAAGGGATGCAGTGGTTGGTGTGCGATATGAAAATAATAATAATTTATACATTATTAAGGGCTCATGAGAAAAGGAAGGTGGGAGAGGGAGGAAAAAATTGGGAGCTGATACTTAGGGCTCAAGTAGAAAGGAAATGTTTTGGAAAGGATGATGGCAACATATGTACGAATATGCTTGGCACAATGGATGTATGGATTGCTATAAGAGCTCTAAGTGCCCTCAATAAATTGATTAAAAACAACAAAAAAGAGACTTTTGATTTGGCGCATGTTTTAATGGATATGACATTCTCACAATGATAAAGTAAAAAAATAAAGCCCAAACCTATAATATAATACAGGATCCCTGCTGGCTCAGTGGGCTAAGCATTAGCGTGCTAACTAAAAGGTCAATGGTTCAAATCCACCAGCCACTCCTGAGGAGAAAAATGAGGCCATTTGTTTCTTTAAAGATTTACTGTCTCAAATACCCCATGGGGCAATTCTATTCTTCCTCATAAAGTGGCACTGTGTCTTAAGGTCATTGAGTTAATGTCTATGGTTTTGTTATAACAAAGATAAACATTTACATAACATTATCAACTTAAAAAATGTGTTACATTAAATTATCAAATTAAAAATATGAATGAAACTGTTTTGAAGGTTTATCATAGTGTTAATACATGTACATAACATATCTAAGTAAATATGAGGAAGATTACAAAAATCATGGGACATGTAATTAAATTATGATGCAGTTTTGCACATTTTTGGAAACCCCCTCTTATGCTTTGGGCATGTTGTCAGGAGAGCTCAGTCCCCGCGGAAGGACATCATGCTTGGTAAAGTAGAGGGGCAGCGACAGAGGAAGGGCTTCAACAAGAAGGATGGACCCAGTGGCTCAGAATTAGGAACAATTGCGAGGATGGCACAGGGCCGGCAGTGTTTCGTTCTGTTGTGCAGAGCGTTG